TGTAGATGCACATCCACCCTTCCGTACCATGTTGCAGAACAAGGCATTTTTGGTTGAGTGGCTAACACACAACACGAAGCACGGACCCGACATCATTGCCTTTGCAGGAGTCGGTATAGCAGAATCCATTTTTGCTCATTGGGGAACCTGGGCATGATCCGCATGTCCACGAATTCTGATGCATGAGTTTTTCCGTTTTGCACATTTTCAATTCCTCAAATCCGTGATGCGTGTGTTTGCACTTGACCCATTTTGAATCTCAAGAAATATGTGTCTGCATCCGCAGCCACTTTCAGTTTACAACCAATCCGACCTTTGCAATCTTGTATGCTCGATCACTTCGAGGACATGCCCATTCTCAATATGATCTTCGGACGATCCAGCGCCGCGGCACCTGTGCCAAAGCCGATGATCAAGAGACGGGCATCACCGTTGAAGGAATCCCCTGCTCGTGATGAGGAAGATGAGACATCAGACTGCCCCATGGAGCAAGTCGCCGATGAGAATCCATCCGCCTCTCAACAACCCGAGAATGTCAACATGGAGCAGGTTGATTATGATCCAGATTCCGACGACGATGATTCAGATGAAGAAGGGCATCCTCCCGCAGGAAGGCCTACGTCAAAGGCGATGCCGCATCCGAAACTTGTTCCGAAGTCACCGCCACCAGCATTGAGGCTTGTCTCCAAGGTCAAGCCAGCACCAAAGAACATCTTGGATGAAGAGACGGAATCCGACAATCATCCTGGTGATCGACCTGCACTTCCAAGGCGACCAGCGATGCGGCCTTTTCTCACATCCAATGATCGGTGGTTTGTAACATATGGATCGGATACAAACATTAGCCTCCAGAAGGAATCTGTACACCCAGGACCTTTCGGAAACTCAAAATTCCTGAATTTTGTGTACGAGTACTACAAGGAATGCTCAACCATCCTCGATGTCAATCCGGACTTCCATTTCGTTCCTGAGCATGAGAGACCACATGGAGTCAAGGTATTCTAGTTGAAGGCCAGATTCAACGAATACTGGCAGCCAACACTCCAAGGTGAAGGACCTCATACGGAGAAGCAATACATGGACTTCATCAAGAAGGTCTACAGCATCTGCTGCTACACCAATGCTCAATCCGAAGTTTACGGAACCGACATCATCCCGATGGTATGCCACAATGGCAACATTGATCTCGAGAAGACCGTCCAGAATGTCGAACAGGTTTGCAAATACTTCTGCATGGATCCATCCAAGGCGAAACAGATCACAGATCTCATCCTCTGGCGAATTGAGAGAATGAGCAGATCATTTTCCGGATGTCTTCGACATGATCCAAGGCATGGAATCCATAAGGAATGCAGACGACAAGTGGACATGGGTCCTGATGGATCCGTCGAGCTCTATGACGCATTGACCTGCATCACACATGCCAGGAACTTCATTGGAAATAAGCCAGGACTTCCCTTGATGGCTATGTTCCCGAGCTATGGAAAATCACGTTTCGAAATCGCGTTCGTATTTCCATCCGTGGACGGGTCATACAATGAGCGCAAGGCACGGGGAGAAATTGTTCCAAGGAATCGATGGATCGACAAGCTCACCACAAGATCCGCACAAAATGCACTCAGGCCCGATGGCAAGGAATTCTATGTCGATCCAGAGATGGAGTTCTATGTGAGATGCAATAGCGGACACACACGACAAGTCGAGATCCAATCCTTTGGACGACCCCTGTACTCTGAGCAGCAGAAAGAGCCTCAACACGACGAACCGGACTATGATCTCCCAACGGAATCCATTCCACCAAGTCCGCATCCGTCAAGATCCGAGGCGCCTCATGAAGATGAAAGCACAGCTCAGCCCAAGCATAGAATGCGAAGGCCGGCACCACCATCCATTGAAGAAGAGAGAAAAGTCAAGCCGTTCGCGAAGAAGCCCATCACATTCATGTTCCATGCAACCTATGGAAATCAGCTCTTCAGCATCATGGAGCACGGGCTCAAATCTGGGAAATCCCAGTCAAATCCTTCGGGGAGAATGCACGTCCGCATGGCACGCATCGATGACGTCATCCTTGACGACAATGAGTCAGAAGCCGCATTGACCCATGTGCCAGCAGGAAGAGGTGCACTGTTGATCCTTGCATTCCTCAAGGACCAAGACTATGGCATCCGACTCTCCGAAGAGCGAACAGCGTTGACAGACAACACCATCGAGGCAAGAAACATTGTTGCAGCAATTGAACCTGATGGCAGCCTCATGGCGAGCAACAAGTGGATCATGAAGAAGCATCTCAGTTATGAAGATTACGAGATGTACGACACCAAGATCCGCGAATTTGCCGACGCCTTCTTCAATTATGTGAATTCCACAAAGCACAGCAAGGAAAAAGATACTTCCTCAGAGACCAAGAAGAGACGGCATTCCACCGATCAGGACGAAGCTGAAGAAGAGACCATGGAACCCTCCGGGGAAAGATCCGTCAAGCCAAAAGTCACCGTGGAATATCATAATTCAGAGAACCTAGACGAGTTCATCCAAGAACTCAAGGGAATCTATCTCGAAACAGATTTGAACAAAAAGGACGCAGAGGAAGAGCTTGCGGAGACCAAGGCAAACCTCCTCCGCTTCATGAACAAGTACAACAAAGATCCAAGAAGAGCTCATCCCAACTTGACAGAGTGCGAGAGAGCCTCATTGGCACATGTCGACCCCGATGTCAATCCCGGAGAAGAAGAATTCTGCTTCCCTCATCGAGGAGAATGTCCCACCATGGACGAGTACAAGCAAGCTCAACCAGGATCCGGATATCCGATTAAGCTTCCACTTGGATTGAAGAAGCTTAGGTCACATGATGACCCGGAAATCATCCGAGCCTATGCCGATATCCTAGGATCTGATGCAACCGACCGACCGTCCTCCTGTGGACTATCTCAAGATGCATGAGTTCACCTCATCCATAGCGATCAACATGCATACCCTGAACCATGGAAACCTCACGAGGAATCCAAAGCTGGACAACAGGGAGGTGTACAACATGCCGATGAAGGATCGACCGATCGTGAAGATGATGATGCAGAACAGTGCACACATCTTATGCCTGAATGAAGCAGACACATTCTTCAGTCCTAATGATGAGAAATCCAAGGAGCTCATCAAGACGCTCATCCGATTCGGGTACAAGGGCATCGTGATCAAGCAATGGTCATCCAGACCGATCGCATGCTTTGTCCGTGGCGGACCTTCTGCGAGAGTGGAACTTCTGGCAAGACACATTTTCACCAAGAGCCAGAATTGGGGAACCACATTCGGAATGTTCAGATGTTTCTTCGGAACCGAAGGAAGTTGCACTGATCCCGAATACGAAATTCCGACCTCGGATTGCTTGGCAACTACAGGACCATCCATGTTTACTGAATCCAAGAAGTACATTGGACCGAGATTGCCAGCACGCACCATTGTCCAAGGACATGGCCGAGACAAGGAGATCGTCGTTCTCCATATCGAGCAGAGTGATGAGTTTCGTGGCATGATCCCGAAATCATCCAACAAGTCACTCCACGAGTATGACGACCGCCACATAACGAGGGCAGATCTCCCATTCGCTACCATTGGAGTTTTCCACATTCATCCTTCAATCAGCCATGGAGCAGCACGGGAAGATCTTCAGAATGAAATCATGCCGCTCGTGACTTTGTACCGATGCGATGCGATCACCGGAGACGCCAACAAATCAGCGAACACCTACAGCAAACTCCAGCACGTCTTCAATCCGGCCAACGGTCTCGTGAACATCCTCATGAGAGCATATCAGAGACTGTGGAATGAAACGAAAGATTTGCCACTCGTGGACAGAATGGAGTATGCAATGGAGACTTCGTGCACCCTGAAATCCATTGTCCGTCATCACCTGTACATGAAGTGTGGATCAGGATATGATCGAACATTCCCAGATGTGATGATGACTTTCGTATTTGGATGGGGCAAAACGAACATCCAGCAGGCTTTCCGGAAGGACGAGATGAACGGCATGGATGATGAACAACTGGAACTCATGCGGAACGATCCAACCAAGGCCATACTCGATTACCAGGGCTCATCCGCAGAGCGCTTTAAGCACGTGAACAATGACATGTTCATGAATGGCTCGCAGGACTCCGACTCTCACAGTCCCCTCATGGTTTACATCCGCAGCAAATCTGCAAAACAAGCCTGGACCCCGCAGGAGTACAAGGACTACAACAAGCAGTGGGGACATCAGAAGCAGTGGAAGGACTATAGCACCTCGACCTGGAATGATTATGTAGACTATGGCAGTCAATCCAACAGCAGCCGCCGATGGTATCGTCGATCCGACTGACCATGAAGATTCATACGTTCAGCACCACGAACTCAATTCAGATGATTGATCCTCGCCGTCTACAAGACTATACAATGAGTGAGAGATCAATCGTCCCGCGTGTACATAGCGTTGTACATCACCCTTTGATACATCTAGGTATCTCAAAAAGAAGCAGTACATAGTGTTTTCCATTTCGAAAGCCAAGACATTTCATCCGAGCAGAAAAGAGGATGAATCCGGCATTTTTAATACACATGGCTACGGCATACAGCATTGCTACGGCATACATCAAGGCTACGGCCAAAGGCCATGAAGCCAATAGTATTTCATACTTAGTGCTGGAAATCAAAAGAAATTTGTGTCTGTTTTGTGTTTGGTTTACTGAACACTTGATTTCCTACAACATTTGGCTCAAGGCCCCTTTGGTGTAACATTGCATCATTCATGATCGCGTGAAGCAAAAGAACCTTAGCAGGCCGCTTACAGGATTATCCACAAGACAATCCACCAGGGACAATCCATCCTCCAATCATCCACAGTGGCATATTGGATTCTCTCCGGAATAGATCCAGGGACCAAATCAACGACCTCTACTACCACAGGGTACCAGTTCCCTTCTGGGATAGGCACGTGGGGCAGTGGGCCCCCGCCCGCCCGCCCGCGCCTCCTCACGGGCTGCCAGGCGCCTTGTGCCGCGCAGGTCTTCAGGGCCGCCTGCAGCGACAGCTCGTCCGCCAGCACCCGGGCCAGGCGTTGCTGAAACAGCCTGGCGCTGAAGGAGCTGTGTTCCTGGAAAGCTCCCTTTCAACATCCCTAAAAAAACACAAAGACCACAGGGGATCATTCCATTAAACGGATCAGGCTCCTCACCCAGAGTTCATTACTAGAAGGTCCGTGTGGGGAGACCCAAATGACGTGCAATGGGGCTAGGTTCCTAGATGGAGAGGATGAGTGAAAATGAGTTGAATCTGTTTTCATTTACTTTTTGTTGTACTGTCATGCAAGATTTGACCAAATTTCTGCTGATGAGTAAAAGGGTGTTTTGCCCATGCAGACTTGAAAACAACTAGTTTCCTCGCAGTCGGGAAGGGATATATCCAAAAACACATGATCAAATGGGCGCAAAACAACCACCACGAGTGGTCTGCCAATGAAGCCCGACGAGAAAACCTGGCAGGCGCAGCACTTTTGCAAGACGAGGTACAAATTTCGTGGCAGGCGCGGCACTTTCGCGAGGTCAAGTTTTCCTTGAAAACTTGAATTGCGTGGCAGGCGCAGCACTTTCGAAAGGTCAGGTACAGATTCCGTGGCAGGCCCAGCACATTCGCAAGGTCAGCACTTTCGCAAGGTCAAGTACAGATTTCGTGGCAGGCGCAGCACTTTCGCATGGTCAAGTACAGATTTCGTGGCAGGTGCAGCACTTTCGCAAGGTCAAGTCAGATTTCGTGGCACGGGCAGCACTTTCGCAAGTTTAAGCACAGATAGAGAGAGAGAGAGAGAGAGAGATAGAGAGATAGATAGATAGATAGATAGATAGATAGATTGATGGATGGACGGATGGATGGATTGGATAGATAGATAGATAGACAGATAGATAAATAGATTGACAAACAAAAGAACGGTGCAAACACAAGCAAAAGAAAGAAAACAAAGAAAGAACGAAAACAAAGAAAGAAAGAAAGAAAGAAAGAAAGAAAGAAAGACAGAAAGAAACAAAGACAGAAAGAAAGACAGAAATGAAGAAAGAAAGAAAGAAATCAAGAAAGAAAGAAAGAAAGAAAGAAAGAAATCAAGAAAGAAAGAAAGAAAGAAAGAAAGAAAGAAAGAAAGAAAGAAAGAAAGAAAGAAACAGATAATGACGAAGAACAAAATAAACCGTGACAAGGAAGAATAAGAAGAGAACAATAATCAAGACAAGAAAGACACAGATAACTATAGTTTTTATATTTTTGAAACTTCCGCCCACCGGCTTCGCTGGCTCTACTGGTAAAGCAAGTGACTCAGAGCAAGACATAATCCTACTAGGGTACATATTTTTCGCAGAACGCACTCACTCAATACACGTGGACAGGCGCAGCTACGATCGCCTTCGCTCGAGAATGCGCCCAGTCTGGGCAGGGAATTGACCGTCACGCAGCAAAGCCATTGCCCGACCAAGTTGAGGGCATTTGCGCGCGAACCGAGCAAGCCGCATATGCTACGGCTAGGATTCCACAAGTTAGGCGTCTGCCGCTTTGCCTTGTTCATTGGTTGCAAGGCGACCAATATTTCCAACAGCTACGCCAGAGTGAAAGTAGGTGGTACTATTTCCTCTATGTTCGCAAAAAAGCTGATACAACCTACACGGGGAGGTTATGCCATCTACTTTCACCCAAGTGTATTCTCTGCGATTTGCTCCACCTTTGCTGCACAGCATTCGAGTGATTGACTTGGATACGTGCAATGCGGCACACAAGCAGATCATTCCACAAACTGCGTGGAAGACTTCTCAGCTGTTGCACGGCCGCAACCAGTCGACACACTTGCACTGGCATCGCCCGAAACTGTGTAAACAGCGGAACAGCAAGGTCTGAGCCAGCAAGAAAGGCGGCAACGTGGTTCCAAAAGCCCGTGTCGCAACATCGTGTGGCTCCCTCGAAAGTCAGCGGCGTCACTCGACTTTCGAGTTGCCGTCAACGTTTTGCATCTCTACGACAGATCTGAGGACCTCGGAGCATGGCATAGATTACAAAGTTCGGCTTCAGACCCGGCACTTTGGGATTCGAATCCGAATATGCAAAGGGGGTCCGGCGCATCATACCCTTCCTTGAAGAAAAGCCTGAGTCTCCTGGTGATTGACATCAAGAAGGACATTTACACAAGGGTTCCTTGCATTGTCCCCTTCAAACATCGTCCCGAAGACAACAACTCACTCAACATGGGCAATGCTTCAATCACCCGCAAGTCAAAGGGAACTATGGTGTCCTTGTGTAGGCTACCCCCTTTTTATGATTTTTGAGGGGAAACCAAAAGGAGAATTCAGATTTTGGGGTCTAAGCCGAGTGGCAACTGCGAGCTGGCGCGCCAGGCAGCGCCCTTCTGGCACCCCTGCAACCTCGAGCGGGGCTACGGGTTACGCCTGGGAACTAGAAGGATGGAAGACCCCCCCGGGGTACTCAAGACATGTAATTCTCCCCTGCCTCTGTCAAAGGGGTTTTGGAAGAACACTGAGCCAGTTCATCCTTGAGTGCGCTCCTTGCCTGTGCTTGCTCACACCAAGAACTCGGTTTGTGCCCGTGTTGTCACTGCAGTGCACGTAGGATCCGTTCTGAATCAGCAAAACAATACTATGCTTCATTGCTTGCCCAATTTCCAACCAAAGCTGGCATGATACTCCCCCAAGCATACCCATTGAAAAGAATCAGTGGCTACCAAGGCCACCATTTGTGGGGGCCGAGATCAAGTTGGCACGGAGAAGGGTGTCAGATGTTACCGGACACGTCCATGAGGAGTTTGGACAGTCAAAGTGATGCCCAAGCAGTAGTTCAGACTCAATCGCGAGTCCCTTTGAATCAGGCGTTCGGCAATCCCAATTGGCAACTCATAGGGGACCGCAAAGTATGGGGCGGTTTCCCTTTACTTCTCCCTCCGGCAAACATCTCTTTGACACACTGCCGAGGCACATGGAGTTGTAGAGGCCAAGGCCTGTGTGTTTCTGCGCCTGCAGCAGCTCGTACACTTCCAGCGCTTGCCTCGACCCGGCTGTGGTTGTAAGTCCCCGTGGGTTAAAACCAAGTTGCTACCCCACGTCTCGTGTATCCACTTGAGGTTGGGCCAAGGTCAAAAGGCCCTGGCCCAGTCGAAGCAAAAAGGTGCAGCAATGGTGGTACCGCTGTTTGATCACTCCCCTCTAAACAAACGAGCAGCGCATCCTTTTTTCCCTAGCTGAGAGCTATGGGATCTCTGCCCAGATAGGCTCTGCGGGAGTTTGGGGCAGCTTTCAAAGGGTTGCGGAACGGTTGCAGGGGGTTCCGGGCTGTTGGGGATACCGCCTGGGCTTATTGTTTAAACATCAAGCGGTGAATCCAACAGGGGAAAGCGAGATGATCAAGATGGCACATGTGCAATTGAGAAAGTCAGGAAATCCACCCCAGTATGCCGGCAATGGTTTGAACACTTGACACGGTCGACTCAGCCACTTTGAACCCGTGGACATTGTTGAATCCAACCCCAAAGGTTCCGCGACAGGTTGCGGCCACGCACTCTGGCTGAAGGCAGCGGCACTTGCCTGAAACACGCGTCCAGAAGGCGAATGGACCAGACCTGACTGAATGGGTGTGAAAAAAGGCATGGAATCATAGAGAACCTTCGGGCACTCCATGGAACCTCAGGGAACCCTACGAACCCCTAGGGACATTTAGAAAACCGGAAGCTACAGAGTTGTTGAAACCAAGCATCCTGCAAACCGTGTTGCTCGCAGGTGAAGGATCATCCAAATAAACTTGCTCTTGCGGGTGTGCACCCAAAAGGCCCAGATTCTCTGGCGAGTGGTCTATGGGCCTTCTGAATTCACATCGGACTCAGCTTGGCAAACGCTAAACCCTAGCAAAGCGACAACATCAACATAACAACTTGTGGGATTGGGCTGTCTCCCCGTTCCAGTTCGCAGTAGGAGCCGTACTGGGGAAAAACCGCTCTTGCTGAGATCTATGCTTTGCGCTTGGAGAACATTCTGGCATGTTGAACACCACGCCGACTCGCTGATTTAGACTAAATTAGTCCAAGAAGTTTCCCCAACTTCCCGAGAACCTCCCCAGAACCCCCCCAGCAACCCCCAACCAAGACCGCCTCCAAGGTAGACCCAGCTGCCTCTGGGGAAAATGACTACACCGGCCTGTTTTTGTGAGTGTGTCAGAATGAAAATTTTTGGACAGCCAAAACCCCCGAGTTTTCCTTTTGGTCTCCCACAACAAACAGCCGCCCAAACCGCCCCAAGACCTGAGACCGCTGCGGCCAGGCAGGAAAAGTCCGGCTGCAGCTTGCGGGAGAGGCAGCTCAGCAGTCCTAAGAAGGGGATTTGTGGTTTTCGGGTCTGCCCCCTTTGATTGCCAAACCCCACCCCAAAAAGGGCCGGTTCCCTCTTCAAAATCATGGGGTCACCTCAAAAAGAGGTGCCGAGATAGGAGCATGGACTGTCCCTCTTCTAAAAAACCTCCACAAGGAGCTTCTACCTTTGCCACTAAAAGCCACCCGCAAAAAAGTAGCTCTAGAGGTGCGTGTCCGCTGACACCTTTTGAGTTGGATGCTGGGCTGTCCCTGGAAGGCACACATCATGCGCTTTTTCATCCATACAACATGTACGCTGGGAACCCTACGTTTGCCCGCCGCCTGCGGCGGCCGCTGCGGTCCACTTTTTCTCAGGATTCCACCTGCTTGCCCGGATCTTCACCATAGAGCCACTGAGCTTTGTCATAACTGAACGCATCTGATGGAGAGATTGATACGATGCCCTCACTGCACACTAGCCTATACATCTCAGCCGCACGCAAAACAGAGAGAGGGCCTGCCTTGCGAAGCAAAGCTGCGGCAACTGATTTCCTGGCCTTTTGCTTCCAACCTCCGCCCAAAGCACCAACCCGCCGAGTGACCCGCTTCACAGCCGAGCAAATTCTCCGCCACGTTATCACCAGCAGCGCATGTGAAGTGCTTCTTGTAGCTCTTGACTGCTGCGTGCTTGGACAGGAGCGGGTCGGCTTGTCGAGGTCCGTCTTGCGCAAGGCAGTGCTTGGGGTGAACAGGCGCTGCGCATGCTTGACGCCCGACAGGTGTGCCTTCTCGCCGGCCCATGCGCGAGCACCATCTCCTGCCAAGATGGTTTTCTTTCCCACTGTCTCCGGACCAAGTCTTCCCTTGGTGGCTCTGTTGTGGAAGCCCCGGCAAAGCCATCTGCGCGCAAACCGTCCCACCATGGCCAAGGTGCGCCCGTAGTTGGCAGTGCGGACTACCTTTGTCCGCCTTGCACAAACTTCCGCTTCTTCGACCCGAACCTGGAACTATCTGCCTCGACCATATTTGCGCTGAAGACCTGCTGGTCAGCCTGCACGAAGTTGGACCACGCGAGGCAGAGCTTGAGACGGCCGTAGTGGTCCCCCACTTTGTGACAGGGCACATGTGAGCTGCGCTGTCATTTGGCAGCTTGCAGCCGAGACAGCAGGCAGCCCTCAGCAAAGCTTGGAAATCTTGCTGAGTTCCACCCTTCGCAGAGTGCTATAGAGGTGTGTAGGCCAGCTGTGGCAAAGTCATTCGACACAGCGAAGGACATGCTTTCCCACCGCTGCACCGGAAGCCGCTCTTTGTTAGGATGTCGCTATTGCGCTTCCAGCACTTGAACGTAGCCGCGTGCTCATCGCGGGGCAAAACCCCCTGCTTGACCAGGAAGCTCTTGGCATCATCTTGTGACATCCGCAGTATCTCCTCAAAGGAAGGCTGGTCAACATCTTTCAGGGCTTCACCCCAAGACACTCGCTGACCCGGCTTCTGCCCAGAGTAGGTGAGGCCGTGCTTGACTTTGAAAGCGCGATTGGCACGCTCTTTGTAGCCCCATTTCTTTGGCTGCGCAGGCTGGAGCTTCTTGTTGGTAGTGAAGGGCGGCATCTACTCCTTACTTGGGGACCTTGAATCTGGCACGGTTGACGCGGGGTGGTCTGGGAGGCACCTCAGCTTGAAAGCGGTGCCAGTGCTGATCTTGCCACTGGCGCACATGCCTGTGGAGCCTATCCGACGAAGGCGTCCCCGCAGAAGTAGGCTCCGTGTCAACTGCTGGCAAACTGGAGAGGCTGGCAGCCGAAGCGGTCACCGGGAGAGCAGTTGCAGCGGGCGAAGGCGTGGCCTCTCGCAGCCAACCAGCTCTGTGCTGTCTTGCCCACTGCACCCAAGCGTAGGCAAAGAGCTGTCGCCTGAGTTGTTGGATCAAATTTACGAAACCCCCCCATCCTAAACTGTGAGTTGTAGGATCTTCCCGCCCACCCCGAAACCCGAACCCCCCCCATCCTAAACTGTGAGTTGCAGGTCTTCCCCCCCCACCCCGAAACCCGAAACCCCCGCAATCCTAAACTGTGAGTTGCAGGTCTTCCCTCCCCACCCCGAAACCCGAAACCCCCCCATCCTAAACTGTGAGGTGCAGTCCCCCCTGAGAAGCCAAAAGCTCCCCATCCTAAAGCATGAGTTGCCCCAAAGCCAAGTCACCTCGCAAGCGTGCCAGAGTGATACAGACTGGCAGCCTGCACAACCTGCGCCTTCTCCGGGGTCAAGGTACACTTGCACCCAGCACCATGCGGGGTAGAACCCTTGACGACTAAACATCTGCGAGCAGTCGCGCGCGTCTCAGAAAACCTCATGCATGGATCGCAAGAACGTCACGCCTGTGCGGCAACATGGACCCTAGGTGACAAAAGCCACGGAGCCTAGCTGACAAAAAACCTCACGTCTGTGCGGCAATATGGACCCTAGGTCACAAAAACCTCGCGCCTGTGCGGCAATATGCATCCTAGGTCACAAACACCTCACGCCTGTCACAAGGTGGGCGAACGTAGGGGTCCCTGGGAACATGTATATAAACATGGCGATTGTACAACGCACCTATTGACGACGAGTCCCGCCTCGCCACTGGCCGAAAGCCAAAGCTTAACATGCAACTTCTACTCGAAGAGAAGTGGCATTTGTCCGTTCAAATGGTGGGACACGTTGAGGCTGCAAAAAGCACAGCTGCTGAACCAGGCATTTGAGTTAGACAACAGCAAATTCGACGCTTGCCACCAGCCTGACACTTGGTGATAGGTAACCTTTAGCGAGTCCTTGGCGAATTCTAGGCTGCTTACCCAACAAGCCATTTAGCCCACCCTTGCTTTTCCAAGCCGAGACGCCAGACGCTACTTGCCAGCGGAAGCAATCTCCGGAAGATGTGATGGTCGCTGTAAAGGAGACCACCTGAATACTACTCAACATCTGGCAACAAACGCTAGGTCGCTTCATTCAGGTCCCAGAACAGGTCCCTATATCATCCGTTTAAACATAACCCCACACAAAGATGTCTAAACCCACCAAAAAAAGAAGATATAGGGACCCTGAGAGCTGGCGCTTGCAGGTCGGGCTGTGGAAGTGGTAGGTACAGAACGGGACAAAATGTGGAAAGGCTGATATGCGTGCTTCTCGACATAGTCCCCTAAAATGGTTGGTTTCCTTGGCCTTTGCTACACAAGGGGGCACCACTTTTGTTTTTTCTTCGTGTTTGTACCCAGTGGAGCAGAAAAAGGCAGTGGGACGCTCCTTGACAACTCTGGCCCGAGCTTGCGCAATGCGAGGTCAGCGAGAACATGCTCAGCGCAGGCCTAACACGAATTCAACGTGTGCCCCGGGACCAAAGGAGAGTCAAGCCACTCTGAACCTGGGACCTCAAGTCCTGTTCGCCTGCGCGCGTTTATCCCGCAAGGACTTGGTTGCGGGAGCACGGGGAATTGGTTAATTTGGATTTTCTAAGGTTGCGCATGTTGCAAGCTTCTTTGCGTGACTGTTTGTTTTGGCTCCAATTTTGCTTCATGAGTTTGGCTGAGCAAGGAGCAGATGCTCGCTGTGCGGGGCATGGAAGCCACGCCGCACGTTGAAATTCACGGGAATCACATTTGCCTAGGGGGCACCCTTGAGGTTTCAACGCACATTCATAGCCATTTTGGGGTTGCCCATGAGCCAATCCCAAAACTCACCGGGCCTTTTGACGCTGAAAAGCGCGAGAACCCAACAAAAAAACGTGCTGACTTGTGCATACCACCAAACTGATGGAGCAACGCTCAGCTGTTGATCAATGAAACTCGCACGCAAAACGTTCAATGACGACTCTGGCACACCTTTCGAACTTCAACTCACATATTAGGGAACACAACGAGGTGCACATCTGGAAGGAGCTGCTGCTCGTGCTGAAGCAATCAGCAATCCTCAACTCATACTGTGGATTGAAAGGGAAGTCCAATGTAGAATCAGCCGAAGGGTTTTCCTTGCCCGTTTGCGCCGCCTTGCAAACCAAAGGACCAGTTGGGTTGTCTTTTTAGGCCACCCCTGAAACTGGTTTCCTTCTTTTTCCACATTACCCACCTTCCAAGTATGGAGGTGGACAGGATTTTTCCAAAACGCCCAAGAGCCTCGCCGCTATGGTTTTGGTACAGCCATGTTACTGGGGCTGTCCTCAGATCCCCAAACCCTAAAAGGCCACACAGGCCATCCTTTTGGGAACCACCAGTGCCGCGCTTCCCCCTTCGACAAGCCACGTCAGCCATCTCCAAGGCGTCCAAGGTGGCTAGCGACCTGGCGCTGATGGAACTGAAAACTAAATGAATAAGTAAATCTATACATAAAATGGTGGTTTGCCACAAAAGGGGGTAGCAACTCGCAAAAAGACGAGCCACCCATACTCAAATCGCCTCTCCATTGCCTCAACTTCCTCAACAAACTCGCCCTTCTCTTCCAACATCAAAGAGGAACATGTGCGAGCGAATGCCAAGCCAAAGTCTCCAGATCTATCAATTAGCATCATCAAGCTGTCGAGGTACGCAGAAGTATAATTACAGAGCATTCTGGCATATTCTGTTGTTGTCAAAAGTTCAGGCTTGCCTATGCGACAAGCCAAAAAAGCACCAACGACAGAAACAACCTGGTCCAAATAGCTTCGCATACCTTCAACTCCAAGCCACAGCCATGCATGCTGCCCATCTGTGCGGGCGTGTGTCACGAAAAGGAGCAAGCTTGCATGGCAGCCCTCTCTGCACACCTTCAACATGTGCGCTAACACTGAAACTGTCCACTCAGGCAACGCTGGGACTGGCGACTTACTGCTTGTCTCCCATGAGCAAATCACCAGCAGAAACCCAAGTGCCTGTCGGGAAAGTCCGGCAAGCAGCTGGGGAGATCCAGAATGAAGAGAGAGAGAGAGAGAGAGAGAGAGAGAGAGAGAGTGAGAGAGACAGAGAGAGAGAGAGAGTGAGAGAGACAGAGTGAGAGAGAGGCAAAGAAAGAGAGAGAGAGAGAGAGAGAGTGAGAGAGACAGAGTGAGAGAGAGGCAAAGAAAGAGAGAGAGAGAGAGAGAGAGAGAGAGAGAAAAAGAGAGAGAGAGAGAAAGAGAGAGAGAGAGAAAGAGAAAGAGAGAGAGAGAGAGAAAGAGAGAGACAGAGAGAGAGAGAGAAAGAGAGCGAGAGAGAGTGCCAGACTCATGCACAGCTTCTCAGCACGTTGCTCTCTCGGTTGATCTTTGATATTATGTTGGATAGCGTGGACACAGTCACGTCTCAAAAAGCTCAAGGTTCTCACATGCCCCTCCATGGTTGTGTCTTGTTGTGGCTCCCCTGTAGACGCGTCAAAGCAGAAAAACCACCAAACGAAGACCGAAGCCCGTTTCAGGAGTTCCATGTCCCATGAGACACCATGCCTCTCCAATGCAAACCTGTGGCCAACCCAAAACAACATGCTTTGGGCTTCGCAGAGTTTTGCAAGCGAAACTCTCCCCAAAGCTTTGGCGCCCATGAGCCTCTCCCACTGCCAGTCATTCTGGCACGCGCCCAGGAAGGCGTTCCAGGCCACGACGTTCAGCAGCGTTCGGCCAGCGGAGCGCAGCACCGACCTTAAATGGAACCAGGTTGGTTTACTTCTGGCTGTCACCGTGAATTTTCAGCGTCGCCTATTTTTGGATCTCATGAAAGCATTACCCTTTGAAACCTTCCAGGGGTCCAATGGTAGTAGCTATAAGGTCATGCCGAGTCATTCCCTCCGAAGAGGCATGGTAAATCGCTTCTTGAAACCACTCACACACCGTTGCATTGTTACCCCTGTCCATTTTCCATGGTTATGGGCTATAGGGGTAGCCCCAACCCCGCCTTGTGGCTTTGAGATCTCGTGAATGGGTTGTGGTGTATTGGCCTCAGACGGGTTTAGGAATGGTTTAGGTTTGTTCGATGTTCAATCATTAAAGAACATGTTGCCGTGATTTGAGCAATTCTTGCACGGGATACTCATCTGTCCCGTGGGAGTGTTGAAGCCAACGCTCTAAGCCAAGCTGTATCAAATCAGAACCAACACGTATAGGAACCACTGCATTCCCGTCCACTCACAAACGCAAATGCGGGCCATATGTATGAACACAGCAGCTTCCGGACTGAAGAATCCAGACAGGTCTAGCGGAACTTGGCAGCATCTGTGCAGAAAGCTCGTTCTGCTGTGAACCCCTGATCCCGCACATTTACCTCTTTGAACGGTGTCGAGCCATATCCCGCCATGAGGGAAATTCATCGCCAATCGCACAAAGACAATTCCATTACACTCATCGCAGGTCACCCAAAATAAGTGCTGGCTCTTGGGTCTTAGCAGTCGTGCCAGCTTCTCTCCAAATTCCTGATTCATGCCATATCTTGGCAGCATGTGCCCATGAGATAGATCATGAACACATACCGATTGACCATGATCATGTATGTTTCAGCAAGCCGTTGGTTCATGGAGCTACTTTTGGGATTCGCATGAGATGCTGACCCCCAATAAACCAAGGACAGGTCCGTCCCGCCCTCGAGGCTGCCAGCATTCCCACAACCAGAAGCTCAATGGTTGCTGAGGCGACGCTTGAGCCCAACATGCTTTCTAATAACCCACCAAACCAAAATGGTCCGCTCACATCCAAGTCTGGGCCCAGAGGACAGGTTGGAGCCCATGACATTTGTCAGGGTTCGATATGGCTGTGGGTTAAATATAGGGTAACCCCAAAATGGGTTGCCCTGGTAAGTGGAAACAAGGACTACAACCTGTGGCCCAACTCCTGGTGGGTTAATTTTGACCCACACCCAGCTGGGTATGGCTCAATATTTGGGGGGAGCCCAGACCACCGCAGCTTTTGGTTGTGGTCAAAATGAACCACCAGGAATTGGGCCGCAACCACCGCAGGCTTTAGCCCAGTACATTCACAAGGGTTCCATTTTGGATATGGACCCCTTTTGGTTGGAGCTAGGGAAACCAAAAGGAAACCATCGATTTTCCACCCATGGGTTTAGTGCCTCTCTTGGACGGAACACCCGCGAGTTTAATAAACCGCCGTTGATTAATATGGGGTCAACATACCCATGGCAGTTGGACAATCCTAGGGTGTCTTCTCAGGATGGTGGACCCCTTTTGATTTGTGTTTCCAGGGACCTCGAAAGGACACCCTCGTTTTTTCCACCCTTGGGTTTGGTGCCTTTCTTTTGTGGAGGGAACACTTCCCCCCCAAAAAAACACCCCCACACACACACACAAAACACACAAAAAAACACACACACACACACACACAAGCTGATAAATATGGGGTCGACATTCCCCAGATGGATTTCTCCAGCGGCCCAAGGCGCATGGCCGCCTGCCACTGGGCGGCCTTCTCACAGGCGCTGCTGGCCGCCGCGAAGGTGACCACGCTGGGCTGCCTGGTCGCGTCCCAGAAAACTCACCCCGAGAAGGGGTGTGTCTCATAGGTTAACACCTCTGGTGATGCTTTAAGGGGGAAATCGAACGGACACCCTTGCGATTTCTTGGGTCAGACACACCCATGGTTGGGCACCCAAACTACCCGAGTTTGGGGGGGGGAATATGGTTGAGTTGGCTTTGTTTGGGGTTCCCTTGAAATACAAAATCCATTTTGAGGAATTCGTAAAGAATGAGCAACTTTACTTGCTGGTTCTCAAACTAACCACAGGGGAAATCACGTTCATTTTGGAGAACCCCTCTTGGTGAAACCTTTTTGGATTCTTAGGTTGGGAAAATGGGTCTGTCTACGTGCCACAACTGAGCAATGCTAAAGCACTAATATTAATCCAGTACCAAAGCAGAACTAAACCAATACAAACAATCTAATTCTGAGCCAAAAGCTGCTCCCCCCCCGTTAAAACCCGCTCCATCCCTTCCATTACGGTTGCAGTGTATGAGGTGCTTATTGAGACATGAACAAATGGAACATCTATTGTTTCACCTCCCAGCTAATCGCGTGCACATGTGCGCGGCCAAGATACTTGTAGAGGTTTTGAGGGCATGAAATGGCCACCCAACCAGAACCAAAGCCAAGCTTCGGCTCGAAAAGGGCTCTCCAGAAGAAGCTCAGTGCCCAAGCCTGGCGTGTAGCTCGTTTTGGGCGCTTTTTTGGCGCCGGAAACAGGTGTGTTTGATTTGCTTTTTTTTCTTTCTCTGGCGACTTCACAGCTTCTGACTTTTCGCCAGGCAGCAGGGCGCAGTCCGCGGCATGCTGCTGCATCTGCAAGGCCCAGGTCCATTGGCTTGCCTTCTCCTAAGGCAACCGGAGCCAACAGGACGCCCAGCCCTTGGAGGATGGAATTTCAGTTGCAAGTAGGAAGTCTTTGGTGGACATCATTCAGTTGGGGACTGTTCACCCACCAGGGTTATAAAAAGACACTTTGCTGTGCTGGTCCCGTGGGCCCGCTACCTCTGACACCCGGTCCCAAACGCTTCCCGGGGGGGTTTCCCCACTCGCCGGCCAGCGGATGTCTCAAGCACCCATTCGACAACAAGCTCCACAGGATCGATCCAGCCAGTGGGCATCATGACTTCAGCTTCAAGTTGTACCAATTTGGAAGCAACGTTGAATTCTGCCTACGCACAAAAAAAAAGCCAAAAAAAAACCAAAAAAAAACAATAACAACCGAACGGCAGAAGTCCACACCTCCCCAAGGGTATAGGCTTGCAGAAGCACACCATGAGCATGACAGGACACGCGCGATGCGAGCAAGGAGCGCTCAATTGATCGGGCTGGATTCTGAGATGTCCCTTCCGCGGGGAAAAGCACACGCAGCATGTCTATTTCACTTGAGTGTAGACAGTCAGCGACCCGCATTATAGAACATATAGCAAAGCTATTGATCACAACTTCTCAATCTGAGACATGCCCCAAGTGGCGGGGGACCTGAAACATGCGGATTGCCTTTTGCTTCCTCTTCAAAACCCAAGCAAAACAGGGCTCCTAAAGAAACGAACGCGCTCGGGCGTTGCTCCGAGCTTCACAGGCACTCACCACGGAATTGCAGGCGATAATATTCGTCTGCAGCTGCAATCGGCCTTGGCACTGGCAAAACGTGGCCTGGGTGAAGGCAGGTGTAACAAAGGCACCCTCCAAACACCAGCCCCAAATGGACTAGGATGGGAGAAGAACTCAGCAACCCGAAATCATGAGATGGGTCAAAGCAAAATAGGGATTTGGGCCCGGCAAAAATGGTGGTCTTCGTCGTTTCCCTTTCAACATGCCGACAACAAGGAACCCTGAAAAAACACAGCCCCAATGGACCCAATGATACTTCACCAATAGATCTCACCCAGAAAGGAGCCTTCATGGATGACGTCGCAACCCCCTCACTGCGGTTGATATCAAGTTTGTGTGAACAGGCATCGTGCTCCTAAAATGTAGCTCGTGGAAGGAGACTTGCAGAAACCAAACTCCTATAGTCGCTCTAGTCTCATTCGAGCCCACGGCTGTTCCAATTGCTGCATGCTCCCAGCTTCAAGCGCTGCTTTCACAATCTGGCGGGCGAATCTTGCCCAAATGGCAGCTCAAAGAGTGACCGCCATTGGCAGCACCCAGGCAAAACCCTCCAAGATTCTGAAGCCAAAAGCAGTCTGGCAACATTTACAGGTGGGTCTTCAAGCTACAACTTTGGGATAAATAGGACGAGTTCGTCGATTGGGATCGACTGGCCCCGCTTGGATGCAGTACTTCAGTTTTTGCGTCGGCCAATGAGGGTTGAAAGGAACGCTTTGTGTGTCGGCACTGGCTTTAGGACATCCACTCGCAATCCTGGTCTGAGGGATGGTTAGACGGAACAACAATGGTTGCAGCCCAAGCACCGACAAAGAGGACAAGATGTCACCCTTGGCCCTTGCCCTTTTCACCCAACCCTCCACTTCCCAGTTGCCCCTGCCTTAGTAGTCGCCTGACTTTGGACGTGTCTGGCCATCAGGGCAAACAATAAACTGAAACCAGTTCAAAACTGGATGCCAGATCTTAGGCCGTCCCCAATTCTCCAAAAACCGTTTCCGGACCCAATGGCCCCAATTCGCCTTACCCCCCATTGGTGGCTTGGTGGTTTGGACGTCCCCCATTTGGTGGTCAACAGGTACCTTCAAATCAAACCACCAATCCAAGCCACCAATCCGAACCAACTCGCCCGACTTGCCCCCAAGTCCCTTTCAGCTGGAGAGAGGCACTAATGGACTTGAAGAGGTGCAAGGCCACCTCCCAGCGCTTGGCTGTCTCCATGCAAGAGATGAGCGCGGCATAGGTCACCTTTGCTCCAAATGTAGACGCTTGGCCGGAGAAGGCTGAAGGATTCCTGCAAACAAGTCTACCCTTGTGATTTCATTATCTTCAGGCTCAGCATGCTCATGGTCGCCTTGGATACGCGACAGCACACGAGAAGGTGGTCTGACAACATGATTGATGACGGTTAAAGCAAGGAAACGATGCAAGTTTCCTGCCCAGCAACTGAATGTGCCACAATTTGGCCTCTTCATCGGCTACTCAGTAAGCCGGTTGGCTGATTGCTAGTAGCTTCTAAAAGCGCGCACTGCTTACGGATCTACCAATTCCAATACCTCTTGGTCAGAGCCTGAATAAAACCCATGTGCATGAAACCCACTCGCTTTGCATGGCACAAAAAGCAAAATCGAGATGCCAAAGTGAAATGTCCGAGCACCTGCATGTTTCAATGAATGAGTTCCTAACAAGGAATGCCCTAACTGCTTCTTCGGCAAAGAAATCGATCCCTGTACCAGAACTCCTCTCCCCCAAACAACTGCTTTTTGGACACTTGGGGTATTGAAGGGGAGAAGCGATGGTTGGAGGGCGGCAAAAGTCTTCAAGTTTGCTCACTGCTGAATCATGGCTGGTGTGACTCTCCAACGCGGCAACAGGCTGTCAAAGCAATTGACGTGGGGGGAGCACCATGAAATTGTTCAACTTCTCAGCCGTGGTGCAGGTAGGCACACACACACACACCCACCCACGCACGCACGCACGCACGCACGCACGCACGCACCCACGCACCCACGCACCCACGCGCCCACGCACCCACGCACCCACGCACCTACGCACCCACGCACCCACGCACCCACGCACCCACGCACGCACCCACGCACCCACGCACCCCCGCACGCACCCACGCACCCGCACCCACGCACGCACCCCCGCACCCACGCACGCACCCACGCACCCACGCACCCACGCACCCACGCACCCACGCACCCACGCACCCACCCATCCATCCACCCACGCACCCACCCATCCATCCACCCACCCACCCACCCACCCACCCACCCACCCACCCACCCACCCACCCACACACACACACTTGTGTCGTCAGCATGAAACACTTGCACATGGAGAGTGCTGATATCAGCATGCACAGCACATGATCCCACGCATCGACACCGAACCAAAGCAACAGCTCCCAAAAACATCGACACCGAAAAAAGAAACAACAGTTCCGGAAAACAGAGCCAAACAGGAACCAGTGGTCCAAAACAACCGCCAATCCAATGGGAGTTCGATGAGATAGCCTCAAGGGCAACATTGTTGGTAATACTCGACTGCAGGTACGTCAGCACTGCGTCCAGTGCTGATATCCTAGCCTGAATCCTGGAGCTTCGTTGGCCCACGCCAGGAAACAGGCCCATGGGCCCCCTGCTATAAAAATCGCTCGGCTGTCTACGCTCGGCACTTCCAGCTGAGCGATCAGGCCTGCTGCCAGCTCTGCTCTTAAACTGCCGACTGTTGGCTGTCCCATGATCCAGGGATTTTCCCTCACACGCGCGCCTTGCGGCGCGCGGGGCATCGGCCGTGCCCGCGCGTTTGCAACGCGCAGACCACTATATTCAATGGCTGGGCCATCTTCAGCAACCAGCATCTTTCACAGGGCCCGAGGGGGATTATACAAAACAAAACAGGGGTCAAACAAAAACAGGCGCCTTCTTCCCGAAACAACCTTGCAAGCTTCGGTTTTGGCCAAGTCCGGGTTGGTCAAAGTGCATCCGGGCGTTGGCCCGGCATTATGCCACTTTTGAATGGCGTCAAACAGAAAACCAAAGAATCAAACGGAACGCAAGCAACAAACACAAAACATCACGGTCAACATCAAACCATCATCATCATCATCATGGGGCCTCACCCCCAGTGGTGACCTTAGTGCGACAGGCAGGTAGGCAGGCAAGCAACAACAGGCAGCGGCATCAGCAACATCCAGGGGCCTAATCCCCAGTGGAGACCTTAGCGCAACAGGCAAGTGATCAGGCAGGCAGACTGCAGGCAGCAGCAACTGCATCGTCATCGAGGGGCCTGTTCCCCAGTGGAAACCTTAGTGAGTCAGGCAAGGTTGCAGGCAAGCAACAGCAGCAACAAAAAACAAAAACCATCAACATTGACATCATCAGGGGCCTCATCCCCAGTGGAAACGTTAGTGCGACAGGCAGGCTAGCAGGCGGGCAAGCAAGCACCAACAAGCACGCAGTACCAGCATCAACATCCAGGGGCCCATCCCCAGTGGAAACCTTAGTGCGTCGGGCAAGCCAGCAGGCAGGCAACAACCAACGTCAACAACAGCAGCATCATCATCATGTTCATGGGGCCACATCTCCACTAAAATCCTTAGATCAGGCAAACCAGTGATAACCTGAAATTCTCCCTTACACACACAGACGCACCAACCCAAGTCCAAACTGGAGCATCGCCTCAGACAATTCAATTTGCTAATAGAAGTTGAAAACTCATCAGAGGACCCCTCTTTGCCTACAGCTCTAGGTCAGGTGGCTCATCAGCATTTTGAGATCCAAATGCTGACGCGGATGCACAGTTGAGTTGCACATGCATGCTGCCACATCACGCGTAATTCAGTTGGCTTCCTTTTTGCCTTTGCGCGAAGAGGCTAGGTTATTCTGCGCGCTGCTGGTGCACGTGTGGCTTTGCAGCCCGGATTTTCTTGGTCAAAGGCAACCACTCTGCGGGATACCCTTGCTCAAAATAAAACCGCCTTAAAAGCAGGAGGTCTTTTCGCACTTGCTCGGTTGGCCATGAACACCTCTTGATGCTGGCCACCCGGGACAAATATCCTGCTGTTTTGATTGTGCTGCATGACGCAGAACGCACTGAGAGCGCCCGACTGGCATCCAACAACTGTGAGCTGCTGATTTGCTTTCCTTGAACGTCTAGCAAATAGCCCAGAAATTCACTGGTGGGCTCTGGTTCAAGCAAAATGGATCCTCCATAAAACTGCTCGTGCAGCAGCTCTTGTGCGGATTGAAGATCTTGCCAAGCTTGCGTGGCCAATATCAACCGATTATCCACATATCTCAGCATTAGCGCATGTTCAGAAAACAACCCCGACAGCGAAGCGTGGGTGTCACACCAAAGCTGCTCCGAAACCCCGACTACCAGCGCGCACAACGCTGGGCTCAAAGGCGAGCCCATGGGTGTACCATGCACCTGTTGAAACGTGGCGCTGCCCACCGAAAAGTTCTGCTGCTGCAGGGCCGCTGCAATAATATCAGGAATGTCTTGTATTTTAATGGATCGCTCCAGGTTGGCTTTTCGTCTTCTCTTGCCTCTCCAAACTCGGAGGCTTCGATCTTGTTCTTTGACAGAAACCGAAAAGTGAGTGTGAGAAGCATGGGGGTTCCTGTCTTGATACCTTTTCCAAACGATGTGCCATGCTGCCACAAATCTTTCTGGTGGAACACTGGTGAAGAACCCGCTGAGATCCTGGTTGTGCACAAGAAGTTGCCCTGTTTGCAGAGAAAAGAACTTCTGGACAAGGCTGAGAAGTGTAAAAACATCGCCTTTTGCAAAAGCTTGTGGGCACACTGTCTCTAGAACACTGTGGATGACCTGCGCAACTGCTTCCAACATTGGTCGGAAAAAACCACCCGCAAACGAAACAATGGGTCGCCCTGTTGCCCACTGCTTCTTGCGCTTGGCAAGAATGTACCCTTGCGCTGGTTTGCCGTCAGATCGGCATGCCCATTCGTATGTGGCACGAAACCGTTGTCGAATAGATTTCTGTATCTGGGCCTGAACATCATGAATAGGAGCTGCTAATTCGCGAAAAATTGTCGAATTTCTGAAGGTGCCATCCAACATTGCAAAGTAAAGGACCTCGCAGAACACCATACAGCGGTTGGGGTGGTGATCTTCGCAGTGCATGATCAAGCCTTGAAGCATTCTTTGAACACCTGCAATATTTTCCCGACAAAAATACTGACCACGCATGGCAACATGTAATTGCCAGCATTCAGAGAAAACGGTGGTAAGAAATTCTTCGGAAGGTCGCGGCAAACAGCTGCGTGCAGCCCACGTCCGCCAGCCTGCTTTGAAACTGGTCTGCGTCTGCGCTCGTCCAGGAAAAAATGCATTCTTCATGGAGCCAGCGATTAGTTCTCCCATGGATTCTGGCATGTACTTGGCAAGTTCCATACCTGACACGGCTAAGTGATTGCAGCCATCCCATTCTTGTTGCATCAGCTTGGCAAGTTTGGCGCAGTGGCAGACCGGTACCTGTCTGGCCGCCCACCTGGACCTCGCCTTCTTCCAGTTAAACAACATTGTGCCAACCATCGGATGTTTAGTCCAGACAACAGTGGTCTTGGGCATATGGAAGGGAACGACCCCTTGAATGTGTTCTCGAATGTAGCTTTTCATATGCTGTTGCATGATAGCCTTGCATCCCATGGGGTCAGCGAGGAATGGTGACTGCAACGGCCCGGCTGGCCGGGGAAGGATGTCTCCTGCAAAGACCATGGCCCTGCGGATGGCGGAGATTGCAAACGAATTCAACGGTTCTGCCAAATTGCGCGAGATGCGCCAAAGCAAACATCTGGCCGCCCAGGTGAAGTCCCGGCCGCGAATGACTTTCTCTGCTTGAAACCTTCGCTCTGTGTTGGACGCCAGGTCGCAAATCAGCTGCCAGATGTTTAGTTTGGAAGACAGCTGAGGGATGTGAAACACCGTGTTCAATTTCCACTGCAGTCGACATCGACGGTGCTTCTTCCACACCGAAGACACTCCAATGTTGATGGAGCTGCCCGCGTTGCTTCTGCAAAGAATTCCCTTAGAGGGGGTGAAAAACTTGCTGATGAAAGGATAGTTCAGTTTCGGCTGAATTATTTGAATATGAGTGGCCTCTGTAGGCAGCAATTGTTGCTCAGCAACGCCGATGCATAGAGGAGCGCAGCTGTACTGAAAGAAACAATCAAAATGTTTCCAGAATCGTATTGATGGTTCGGCCATGACCATCTTGT